TACCCTCAACTGAGTGGCTTGAAGGTGCTATGGGCATCTAGAATTTAAAAGCCAGGGATGCTGTTACATATCCTAAATGCATAGGACAGTTCTCATAATGATATTTTATCTAGCCCAAAATGTCAATATAGTGCTGAGGTTGAGAAACCCTGAACATCTCTTTAGGATGCATGTGCTCTTTTAAACTGACACAGTCCCTTATAGAAACAAGTAAGTTACAAGGAAATACATATTTAAGAGCCGCAATATAGTCTCTGTATTAGATGCTTTAAGATATTCAACACTTTCAAAAGCCAGTAAACAGAAATTGCTGGAATTAATTGAACTCATAGCTACCTAAATGAAAACAAAATGAGTGTTTACATGTTTATATGTATCTGAATGTTTGCATGTATAAAATACAATGTTATTTAAAAATAGGTCACCTTATCAATGCCATAAATTTCCTTCCACTAAATTTGACAATTAAAAAATAAGTATTATATATTTTAATATTATAAACTAAAAGTATATGCTAATGTTTGATATATGCTAATATATGTTAATATTATAAAATAATATATAATATATGTAATACTATTAGAATCAATAAAACATATTAAAGCCATAAGAAAACATTTTTGAAAATGGGAAATGACAAAAATTATTGTGGTTTTTGTGCAAAATTTTTATCATCTTAGGAAAAATATTGGTGAGAATTTTCAAAAGGAAACTACCAAATTCCCCATCCAGATTTTTTGGCCAATATCTGAGCAATAAATATTTCCAGAAAGTGCTTCAAAAACATTTGCATATCTCAGCTGTCCCAAAGGAAATACTGGTTTTGTTTTAACAATTGAAATAAAGGGTTCTATTTTGAACAGCCTTAATGAAAAACCAATTGGATGAAAGGTTTTGGAAAAGACTTATGAATATAAACTGGTTCCACTATAATTTTTTGATTGCCCCTTTATTTCCAGAGTCTACCTTAAATATAACTGGATAATTTTAATCCTACCCTATAGCTACCATCTGACAACATATTAACATATCTCTTTACATTCTGACTTCATAAATCATAATATTCCCTTTATTTTAGGTTGAAGAAGTATAATTAAAAATGGAAAAATAGTTTTCCTGGTTTTCAGATAGAACTTTGACTTTTTTTGTTCTATCAAATTCAGCCAACTTTTAAGTAAATTATTTTATTTTTATTCAGTAGTTCTTAAAAAAAACTACAAAATAGTTTTCTCATTCCACTAAATTGCTGTTTCTAGATTCATTCAGTTTTATCCTTCTCAGGCTTGTTGTTAACAACCCACCTTCTGCCATGTTCTACAATTTATATCTTCCTATTTACATTGTATCATGTGTGAAGTTGGCCCATGCTCTTCTGCAAGCAAATATAAAATAAAAAGGACTGGGGATGTAGCTCAGTGTGAAGGACCTGGGGAAAAACAATCCCCAACACTAGGGGAAAAAAAAAGATATGATCAAACAGAGAATTTCATGAACTTCCATGGGGTCACATAGAAACTAAGTACAAACCTGATACTCGAATCAAGCTTTGTACAGTTAGGGCATTGAGGGCACCTATAAAACCTGAATAAAAACTTATATTCTTAGTGTTGTTCTAATCTTAGCAGCTTAATTTAAAATACTGTATATGTTAAAGTGAACTATCTAGATGATTTAGAGAAGTAGCTCCTAGAGAATTATCTATATGAACCCTGGATAATGATTGAATTTGTTTTTAGACTTTTAGAGTGGATTGACATTGTACAGATTTTGTGATGAGAAATATATCAAATATGTTCACTGATCTCTTTTCCTCCCTGGTCACACTTACAAACCTCCTTTTGTTACTTTTTCCTTCCTTTTATTTTGTTAATCTTTGTGGCAAGCTTTTTCATGCATTTAAATCACTGGCTTCTGAAGAAAAAAAAAGCATCATTAGATTATTATAACTCAGAACCAAGATTTGGTATTAAATTTAGTTTATATTCTATTATTTTCATTGTCTCTAGAGTTAGGGTAGAATTCATCTTCCAGCATTTAGCAAGAAATAAACATTAATTAATTTTGCAAGTATTTATTGAGGTGTGGTACTGGGAACTTAGAGATGGCCTAAACTGTGATATACCAGTCTGGTGTTTACTTTATTTCTCAAAGGAAGGTATGCTCATGGTTTTCTCCAGTACTTTAGGCAACCTCTAATATAAAACATTTACTTTAACTTATTCTTCACCTTTTTATTTATGAAACCACAACTATTCAGCAGCACAGTCAGCATTAAACAAGTTTTGAACTTCCCAAGAGGCACAGTTTATCTAATGTCACTTGCACAAGTTTCTCTGTTATTTTTTCCCTGTATGTCAATGCAAATTCACATGGCTTTGCACAATTGTATTTTGTAGTATTTTCTGGTACGCCAGAATCTCCTAGAATAGTTGTTAAAATGAACATCCCTGGGTCCCCAGACCCATGGGCACAGATTCTATCAGAGGGGCTTGGTATTTCTGAGTAGATTTAGTAAATACAGAATGCAAACCAAAGGACTCAGCCCCTATTAAAAACTTCAGATGCACTGATAGAGATTACATAGCAGACACATCTGACTACATTATTCCAGTAGGGAATGTTTGTAGGTAGGGGGAGCTCAGTGCTGTATATTCGGAAGGAACTAGAAGGCAGTACTTAGGAAACATACTATGGGTCTTCATAAGGCCCAGGGCTATTTCTGTACTATGTGGTACTCTAGAAACTGACCTGAGTGAATTGACTGTAACTGAATCATCAGGGTGGATATAGCCCTGTTTATCTGCAGTTTAATATAGCCAGTTTAGTAAGAAGTGTGATATGGAGATATTAAGAAGCAGAATTTCTCTTGCAGTTAAACTTTTCTTCAAACTGAAATAGCATGCTTTCCCTAGGAGGCCTCAATTTCATGTCTCTGAAATCAGACCATGTGTCATTCATGAGCTTTTTTATTTTAGCCACTCATACTGTGGCTTATCTTGTTATTCTAAGCTGTTTTTGTGGTTATTTTTCACTGAGATGCATGGGGTTGTTTTGACCTTGAGCTCAGCATATATCAAGCAATGTGATTTTATATGGAATAAGTCATATATATGTAAATGTCTATTTGTGAACATACTATAAACCATAACTAATAGACATAAAAATTACCTTGTACCAATGTTTTTTCTCTTGTTTGATATGCAATTTAAATTATGGTGGAAGTATTGTAGGTTTTACAGAAATTTTGCACTGTGAAAAAGGAGCCTGGGGCTGAAAGAAGTTAATGTCTTATGTAGTTCATGTGGCTGGTGACTCAAGAGAACAAGGCCTTTGTTGCATGTCTTAAGACTTGTAAAACCTTTGCTCTTGAGCACTTTTCCTCGGCTGCCTCCTGATTTCAACTATTACATAGAACTTGCTAAAATGACAAGTTATATCCCATAATGTTAGCTCAACATAGAGACTGATGCTTAAAGACCTTAATTTAGAAGAACCAAAACAGAGCATTCAAATTAGAATTGTGACAGGTTTTATCATATATGTAAACATCAGTTTTCTGAGTCAATTTAAAGTCAAATTAATAAAGTCAAAATAAATTCAAACTAATTTGATTTTTCTACAGAAAACTCAAGAAGGTGGTTGATGACCTAAATTAAACTTTTATTCTTGCAAATAATTCTAATTAGATTTATTGGTGAAAGAAATCGTCAGAGCACTTGCTGAGATCTTTTACTCTTAATCTGATTTGACAATATATTGAGATGGTAAAAGTAGAGTTACATAAAATTGTGTGTTATAGACTTTCATACATTTTTTTTTTTTTTGGGTACTGGGGATCAAACTCGGGTCCTTGCGCCTGTGCAGCAGGAGGCAAAACCACTGAGCTAAATCCGCAGCCCCTCATAAATATTTTTGATGAAAAGAATCATTCCTGAAGAAAGGAATGTTCATGTTTATTATTCTATTATAACTTATTTTTGTTTCTACATTTTACACTGTCATTTATTTGGAGGTAACTGTGTCCATTTCTTATTTTTATACATTTCGATGATAAAAACTGGATTTATCTTTCAAAGGTCAAAGGCTACATTTTTCACCAGTATTTCATTAGAGCACTTATGATCTCCATATACAGTGGGAACACATGGGTGTTTGCTAATGAGTGGACTTAAAGAGCTTAATAGGAATTTTATTCGTTATGCAGTACTTGTAAAGGCGTTTTACTGAAGACACAAAGTGCCTTGGGTTCTCTAAGCTCATTTCTTAAGAATTCACTACAAATAAAAATAGGTAATAAACTTCATGATTCTTTTGGATTCATTGAAGTTAACCAAGATATGTTAAGAATCAAACTGAATTGTATGTGTGTTTCTGTGTTAGTTACTGGGGATTGAACCCAGGGCCTTCACATTGAACTGCATCCAGTTTTTTTTTTTTTGGACATAGGATCTCACTAATCATTTAGTTGCCCAGACTGGTCTTGAACTTCTGATCTTCCTTCCTCAGCCTCTCAGAGTGCTAGAATTGTAGGCATGTGCTACCATGCTTGGTGTGGACCCTAATAGTCTTTAATTGACATTCTGCACATCTTAGTTTTATCCTGGAAGTTTGTAGATTTTTAAACTTGAATCTAGAAATACTGATACTAAAATTATTAAAATAAAGGAACTTCTACCGGGGATTTAGCTCAGTGGTTTCGCTGCCTGCTGCGCAAGTGCAAGGACCCGAGTTCGATCCCCGGTACCAAATAGATAAATAAATAACTAAAATAAAGGAACTTCTGTAACCTTCTAAACTCTTTCAGATGTCTTAATCTCTTAGTTTTCATAATACATTTGGGTGAACTGATAACTTTTTCTAAATGTATCATGAAATGATATGAACTGTGTGAAAATGCATAATAGACTCAAATGGTTGGTTTGCATTATTGTTGTTGTTTTACAATTTACTCATTTTATTCTTTTTTAAGATAGTATTTGCTGTTTTTTTTGTCTTTTTAGGGTCGTTGCTCCAGGGAGAACTGCAAATATCTTCATCCACCCCCACACTTAAAAACACAATTGGAGATAAATGGGCGCAATAACTTGATTCAGCAGAAGAACATGGCCATGTTGGCCCAGCAAATGCAACTAGCCAATGCCATGATGCCCGGTGCCCCATTACAACCCGTGGTAAGCATGCTTTCAATCCCCACTCATTACATTTGCAATTCCAAGTGCTCAATTTCAGTACTAAAATAATAATGATTTCACTAGATCAAGGGGACACACGTAACAGTATCTGTTACCTAGTATTTTCTGGAAGAATTACATATCAGTCTCTGGAACAACTTTTACACTATGACCTCACTCATCTTCTAGCTAATTCAGTTTACATTATAGCATTCCCACCTCCCTCACCACCAAATTATCCTCAAAGTAAATCCTATGACTTGTAGGTACCAACATGGTATTCGTTAAAATGGTCAACAAACTCATTAATGTAGTCCATCTAACTTTAAAGGTAATAATATTTTTTTAAAAACTGATATGTATATAATATATACAATATATATGTACATATATATTGTATATATATGTTTCTAAAGTTTTAGAACAGTTCTTGTTTGTCTCTCACCTTTAAGAGAATCTCTATAATTCTCCTTTTTCAAAGAAAACTTTTGTAATTATTTTACAGTTTAAATTGAAATTATTACACAGTCACAAATGCTAAGTAATTTCTGAATTATAATGAACTGGGACCTCTCATCAAAGGAGAACTAATCAGAGAGACAGAAACTCCAAGGGCTTTTAAAAAAGAGCAAATTTGATAATCCATAGGTGGTTATAGATATTTAATGTTTGCCAGACATTGTGTGGGATAACTCCAGCTTCAGAATACACCTGCCTATTTAATAATTTGCTTTTGTGTATGTGTGTATGTATGTATGATAAATTAATAATCTTTGTAACACAGTTACTATTAGCTTGAAGAGGTATTATGTTGTGACATAGTACTTCTGTATTTAAATTTAAATATGCGATGAAAATTATAATGATCAGAATATATTTGTCAATAATTTATGTCATTAATTTATATGTGACATTATGGAGTCATAGGAATTTGAAGACCCACATTTTTCTAGTATGGTAACTGTAGTATGTATCCTAGTTACTTTCTCATTTTTGGAATAAAACACCTGATACCTACAAGTTAAAGGAAGAAAGGTTTATTTCAGCTCAAAATTTATAGAGGTTTCAGTCCATAGTCACCTGGCTCCAAGATATGATAGCATGACAGAGGAGCATTGCAGAGGAGAAACAGTCCATGGCAGAGTAGGCAAGAGGCGGCAAGCAGCAAGCCTGTCTTCTTTCTGTTCATTTATATTCCATCTAGGCTAGAAGCCTATTGATTGGTGCCACCCACACCCAGGGTGGGGCTTCCCATTATCACACCCAGAACTATGCTAGGCCAATCAGTGGGCTAATCTAGTACCATGCACCCATAATCCCAGTACCACACACCCCAGATCCAGCCACCTGCCACCTCCAGAAAGCCCTGCCCTATCTATGAGTGCATGAGGCTTTGGGGGCACACCTAGATACAAGCCATAACAGTGTATGTGCTAACTAATTTTTACCTAATACTTTTTTTTTTCCAGTACCAGGGATCGAACTCAGGACCTTGTGCTTACGAGGCAGGTTTAGTGCCACTGAGCTAAATCCCTGGCCCTCCTAATACATTTTAACACTTGAACTCCATTTAATTATTATTCTGTCTTAGAACTTAATGTAGCACTCATATTAAATGAGAAATGATAGTAATTGTCCATAATTCAAGGTTGAAGTAAGAGAATGTGATTAATTCTGTCTATTTCAACCTGATGTATTTTTTCAATTATTGTGACTTCAATCAAAAATGTGACTATCTTAATTTTTTATGACATCTATAATTTTACATGTCTTTTAGGGATAGCATAAAGCTTTCCATTTGATTTTTAAATTTTAATTATCATTCTAACAAAAATATAGGACAAAAGTCTCTTTTACACTTGGGTCTCATATACAGTTTCAAAGATCTGGTTTGGCTATCTCTCTTTGATGTAAGATACTTTGTTCCACTTAAACATTTAAAACATACTGATTGCCATCCTATGCTCTCTGTGTGACTCAGTTAACCTGTGAGACTGGCAGGTGTGGTTCCCAGATTGAAGAGGACAGCACCATTCTCAGCCTTGAGTTCTTCATTGTGACCCCTTGGCTGATACCCTGACTTCATTCAGGGACTCTCAGGGCTGCTCTAGAGTCATCATATGCACAACCCTGGGAAGACTAGAATGGATATTTATACTCTTTGAAATACTTCTTTAAGCACTAGTAATGAACATTTTGATTGTAAAATCACTAAACCACAGGTTTCTGAAACCATCAGGGCATTCACCCCATTTTCTGATGCTTTTGTTAGAAAATTATCTGCATAAAGCAATTATTTTTATTAGTTATGAGCATATTCAGCTTTTATGTTAATTTTATCTCACATGACTACATTTGAATGTGGAATTACCCTTGTACTAAAGGTATCCTATCATAATCTAAAAATATACTCTATTCAGAGTGATTTTTATAATAAGTATAGAAATAATTTTAATTATTCAACTTTAAAGCATTTGGAATTTTAATAACAATAGAGAAGATTTTAATCCAGGAAATTTGCCTTCAAAATCTTATTTGAGACTTTTTGATCCTTTTCATAGTCAGCCCTATTTTGATGAGTATAATAACATGGAGATTCAGAAATAAATGGGGTAGTCATCACCAGCTGCTTCCTGGGACTTTAATGTGAGCTTACAGATAGGGACTATACCAGAGCTCAGAGCAGCCAGGTGACTGATTTTGAACAGACCTATCTCTCAGTGAGAGTGACCTCTAGTACAGATGTGAGTGTTTGAAGTCGTGCCAGGCTGTGCCCTTTGTGAGGACCCACAGCACCTTTGAGATCAGCAGGAGTGATTAACTTGGATCCAACCCAGGTAGTGGTAACATCAAAGGAGGTAACATGGTGGGCTGATCTACAGCATCAGGAGTATCTGGAGAATACAAGTAGTGACAAGACCTGGGTCAAGCAGGTGAAAGCATCTTTATTCTCTAGGGCCAACCACTTTGGACCCCAAACCTAGCTGAAGAAACAGAAAGAACACTGGAATAGGGTGGCAAAATCTCAGCAAATTTGCAAACAGCTAGTATTGTGCCTGGCATAATCAGAAGTCAATAACTACATGGTGAACGAAAGAACAAATGAAAGGTAGAGTTTCCCAAACACCAAATAAAGAGGCAGAGGTTCTTTGCCCTAGAGACCAAACGAATCATAACTTGAACCAAAGCAGAAGAAGCCTACTTATAGAGACTGGGTAGGAAGGAGCAAGTGGTAGATACAAGCATGTAAATGGTGCCTCAGTTCATGAACACTTTTGTTTGCAAACAGTTTAGTTCATAAACGGAAGAGTTTGGCAAAATTTTGTTTTTGTTTATGAACTCTGCATTGAGTTTCAAACACAAAAATGGCTTTTTTTGCATGAACACAGTTGGGGCCATTTTCCCCAGAATCGTGGAATGAATTACGTTCATGAACTCAGATACCACTATATTTGTAAAGGCAGTCAGTGGCTTGATGAAGGTTCTGTTGACACCAACAAAAGGTTATTGTGCCAGCTGTTTGAGTTATCATTTGCTCATAAATTGTCTCATAAACTAAGCCTATAAATCCGAAATTTTCATGACACTGGACAAAACTTGGTTAATGCAGAACTTTATAGGAGTTTCCTGCTTTTATAGACTTTATTAGGTTGTCATGACACGCACCAAGCCAAAAAACAAAGGGTTAATTTTTAAGACAAATACAATACTTTAGGGCATTTGCTATATTCAGAACATTTTGTAAATTAAATTCTCACAACTATTCTGTGAAGTAGGTAATGTTATCTCAAATTTAGAAATAATGACTCATGAGATTGAAATGCATAGGATAAAGTAATCCAGTCACTGGATTCAGTTTAAGTACTGTATCCTATCAGGAGCTCCTTAGCTGTTCCTGTGACACCTTCACTTTTCTGTCGTGTTCCAGGCATTTGTTGGCAGTAGGCTGTAGGATGCTTTGAAGTCATCATTTGTCTCACTTCCAGGAACACCTAGAATTCTTCAGTTGTTTTGGGGGGCTTTACTTTCCAGTTTATCCACCTCATCGATAATGCCAGATGTATTTCTGGTAAAATGTTTCCACATTAGTCAGCCTGAGGTGTTCATCAATCCTGCTCTTTTTGCTACCTGTTTCAATCAAGGAACCTGCCAGTCCTCAAGTTGCTTGAGATCAGGTACAGAACTGTAGGTACTAGATCATGTTTTGTTGATACTAGAAGGGCAAGAAGTGAGCCTTTTTTATTTAAGTGTTTATAATTTCAGTAAAGCTGAATTGAAGGACAAAGTAAAACTAAGAATAAAGCAGTATTTCTTTAATTTTTTTTCATTCACAAATCAGTTAATAACAAGTCACCTTATAACAGCTTTTATTTTAGCCTGTTACATGCTACCTTCTTAAAAGAAAAAAAATGTGCAGTGTGAATTTGTTGTTAACTTCCATCATTAACTTTTGGTGCTGTTTATATTCACAGTAATTGTTTACTAACACTAGTGATAGCCCTGGGCGCAAGATTGTGCTTACCCAGAAATAGTTTTATACACCAAGATTGTATGCTGTAAATTTTTAAAGTTTTCTTTTTACTCTTTTCAAGTTTGACCTTCATACAAACACACACAAATACAAACACACAGAACCTAGAAAAATCTGGCTTCTAAAGTTTGTGTTCAATAGATCTCAAGTGATGCTAATTACATATTATGTGTTTTATATGATCCTTCCATTTTATTAAAAATTATAAACATTGTTTGGAAAACAAATGCTGTTTCACATAGTGTTTTAGAATAAATAACGTTATCATTTTCAGCATCATAGCATAATTACTTCATTGCTGAAACTTAGATTAATACAAAAATTTAAAACAAAAAGAAAATATATTACATTTCTAAATGGTCATGGTAGAGAAAATATTAAATTCTGAGATGAAGAGGACATATAATTAAATCTTTTCTTGACATTCAAATATGTACTCTGAAAATGCTTAATGCATTTGCTAGTTTCT